TGCTCTGCGGATCCTCGGGTTAATGTAAGAGTTAACCCGGTGCTTGCCTTTCCCAGCGAGGTGTCTTCCTGTCCCGGAGCGGCGTGGCTCTCCAGCTCTGGACCCTTTCCGTCCCCCTGTTGGGTGCTTACCCACACGGTGTGCGATCATCCCGCCACCCTCTCCGTGCTCTCCACCGCTGCCTTGCCCCGGTGTCCAAACCGGGGCATTTGGGTTCAAACCCATCGGTAGCTGTCTCCAAGTTGGCTTATCACGACCTACCTCGATCTCGTGACCGCGGTAACTCCCGACCGCCAAACTCAGGATCCTCTCCTACACGGTGCTAGGGACCGTATATCCGTCGTTGTTGGGTGGTTTTTTCGAGGGTTAACTGCACTTGCGGGCCTCGGCCTCCCCCAGGGAGGGGAGGCGGGGGGAGGCGGAGAGATTGCTGTAGGTCTTTACAGCAGCTTTCGAATGAGCTATTGCTCAAGCTGTATGTCCTCGGCATCGCCGAGGTAGCCAGCATCGCGAGAAATCAGGTCGAAACCAGCACGAATCGCTTTTTGCGCCCGTGAGAAGGCGTGATGTGGAACATGGCGGTTCTGATGAGCTCATCTCACAGCTGGGGCGAAGGGGTTTCGCAGGATAATTTTGGTTCTGTGATATACCCGATGGTTCTGAAGAAAAACGCCAATTCTCATTTTTGGATACGTTCCCATTTTTCCCGCAAGTCTGTTATAGGTCGACCGGCTACGCCCCCGGCTACGCCTCGTATCCAGCCTGGGAGCTCTGGGACACCCGGAAGCGGGGGTACACAGCCAATACTAACCCTTCGCCAGCTTACGGAAGTCACGCTAACCCCGCGTACTCCAGTGGTCGACAACACAGAAGGAGGCGTCACAAGTGAACGTTCACGGAGCGGGAGTAGGAGAGGGGGCCACCTAACCACCGAGGTGGCACCCCCATCGCCGCGACAAAGCGCGACGCGAGAGATTCCGGTACACGTGTCCGTCGGACGGGAGGAAAGACCCGGTCGGGCAGGAAACGCAGGAGCAGGAGGCCTTCTGTTAGTGCAATGGGTGGTGACCTACCCAACCTTGAGAGCAAGCTCGCGGAGGAGGATTACTACAGGCAGAAGAGCGAGGCGAGGAGGGAGGCACAGGCCCGTAAAGATCGCGCGATTGACGAAGACATACGGCGAAAATCAGAGGCCGGGGGAAATCACCCCGTTGATTCTCGGCGTAGGAGTCACGGCGGGAACCCAAGACCAGGCAGTTATCAGCCAGGCAAGTGGAATGCGGGTAGGAGACTTTCTGCCCCAGCAGTGCTATCTGTTGGCCAACCAACCGGTAAAAAGCGAAAAAAGGCGTGCGAGCGAATGGAATGCGGATGGGTTACACACAGCCCTAGCACCGAGTGTAGCAAATGCCCCGGGAGTGTAATGCACTCGGCCGACGACAAACTACGTTCGGCATGTCACAGGTCTCCGAACGATGAAGGTTTCACGCACCTCCGCGGGGACCGGCTAGGGCGAGCGGTAACCTTCGTGGCGGCGTGTACACAAGGAGAGAAACTCCTGCCTCCTGCTCTCGTGCGAGACTTCATGCCCGGCAAGGACTGCAACTGCCAACGCCCAGACTGCTTCCTACATTTTTTCGCCGAGGAAGAAAAGAAGGCAGAGTTTCACGTTTGAGGAAATTGTAACTATCGGAAATCGAGCAAGAGCAGCGTAAGGTGGTATCCCGTAGATGCTGCAGGTGATCATGTCGCGGCGGGGAGTGCAGCAGTGAGCGATGGCGTTTGGTGGTGCGGCCGTTGCTATCAGAACCGGTTGGTTTCANTTTCACGCACCTCCGCGGGGACCGGCTAGGGCGAGCGGTAACCTTCGTGGCGGCGTGTACACAAGGAGAGAAACTCCTGCCTCCTGCTCTCGTGCGAGACTTCATGCCCGGCAAGGACTGCAACTGCCAACGCCCAGACTGCTTCCTACATTTTTTCGCCGAGGAAGAAAAGAAGGCAGAGTTTCACGTTTGAGGAAATTGTAACTATCGGAAATCGAGCAAGAGCAGCGTAAGGTGGTATCCCGTAGATGCTGCAGGTGATCATGTCGCGGCGGGGAGTGCAGCAGTGAGCGATGGCGTTTGGTGGTGCGGCCGTTGCTATCAGAACCGGTTGGTTTCATTGAAGAGATACGAGAAACAGCCAGAGCACCCAGCGAACACGGATCGTGGATCGGGGAGGGAGGCGCCGACCCCTCTAGAACCGTTGGACACGGTGCGCGCGGTGGTGGTTGAAGTCCTCTGTCGAGGTGAGATCCTGTACTGGCAGGCCGCCGCCGATTGGCTAGCTGCTGAGCGCGCAAAGGTTGGTATGGAGGAGTTACATAGGAGATACCCAAGACAGCTCGTCCGGGCCTTGTTCACCAGCATAGCCGCGGCGCCCGGAAGCAATTCACGACTGGTCTGTCACGATGGAGCAAAGGGAGATTCACGCGAGCGGGAGCTCTGCCTCTTCCCAAACTCAATTCGGGACGAGTACCTCGTGGACTCAATGCTGCCTGCTCTCCGTAACGCGCCCGCCCAGTCATCATCCAACCAGCTAGCGGATAAGGACGAGTCTCTCGAGTCGATGATGGACCAAGTCGTGAAGGATGAGGAGGGTGCAGACGCAAGGATGTATGTCGTGCGAGCAGCCGGAAGAATTGTTCGAGGCGACGTGGAGAGTGAGCCTGCCTTTAAGTGTACGCCTGGGACCAAAGAGAAGCATCGCCACGCCGATGAGTTGGCCATGAAAGTGAAGCCCCCGAGAGAAACTCTACTATCCGCGTATCCTCCGACCTTGGTTGGATTATACCAAAGCATGAAGATGCCGCTGTATCGCGAGATCACAGCATCAGAGACCGAAGATCCTGGAAAACCCTGGGTGTGGGAGATCGCAGGGCAAGACGGACGGCACCCTGCCACCTCGGGCGGTGAGGAGGGCGAGGACATTGATGGACAAAAGAGGAACGAGGTCAGTCAAAGAGCAGTCACGATGTCGTCAGGGCACGATCCGAGGAACAGGCCAAACATATCGACAGCCTTACCCGCGACAGGCGATCTACGCATCGTAGGCTTCTAATGATGTGTGCGGTGGTGGTGGAGGCCATTTTGCGTGGTCGGCACATGGCTTCTCACGACATCAAAGCGGCTCAGTGGCCCAAGTCTAAGGGTACGTGTCGCGAGGTGATCAACTTAGTGGCTGAGCACGGTTTGTCGGCGACGACGTCACAAGTTCAGCACCGAGAAGATTTCCATGCCGAGTGCGCCGCCATTCCCCCGGACAACTTCGATTTTGACCCGAGGGTCGAAGTTGGACAGGGGGAGGGGCCTCATCTTCCCTCCACCGCTTCGACGGCCTTGACGGTAGGGTTCGATGTAGGTCTCTTGGACGACTGGTTGTTGGTAAGGAGCCGGGGGTCTTGGAGGACGTCTTGATGGGGCCGGAGCCGGACCGGGAGGACGGAGAACGGCGGTACAACGAATTTTCGGCGGAACTCTACCGCAACGTAGTCGCTGAGGCGCGGAACAACTCCGACAGGTCTGGGTCAGACACGTGCTTCGAGCTGAACTCCGCAAGGTAAGACACCACGTTTTACCTTTTTTCCTTCCTTTCCATTTTTTTTTCACGACCTCGCGTCTCCGATTGAACGTTTATTACCCAATATTATACAGAGTGTGTCCATTCTGAGTCGCGCCCTCGTATTTTTACTCGAACGCGCAGGCCATCAAACCCGAGGGCAAATCGCCCCAGCAACAGCGGTACGCGTTCATCCAGAAGGGTTCAACCAAGAACTTCAGCGATATGAAGGCAGCCATTCAGCGCATACTTGCTATCTGGCGTGGGGCCCCAGCCGGTAGGGATGGTGCACCATTCATACTCGGTGGGGACGAGGAGACATACAAACACATGTATCACGTCATGGCACATTAGCCGCGCGAGTACCGGCAAGTCCGTCGCTACCCCGGCGATTGGCATTTGCTGTTGCATATGGCCGAGGCGATGCTTAGGCGGTACTGGGGTGCTGGCGTGGAGTTCGTGGCGAAGGATTTGGACACAGAGGGCTCGAAGTTGGGGGAGGGGAGCAACTACCGTCGGGCGCACCACCACATCACGGCGTTTTGGTCGGCGTTTATGACTCTGTGACGCGAGGAATACTTGAAGAGATCTCCGACGCGAGGTGACAGGCCAGTAGAAGGTGACGAGGTGGTCGACGGGGTGATTCGGTGGATAGAGGCACGAGCGAGGGCTCACAAGACTTTCGCTGTGTGGAAGCATTTCCTCCTCCACGACTACCCTGCATACATCGCCTTTCTTAACTGCCCTGCGCACGGGTAGCTTCTGGTTGAGGCTCGATGCCCTTCGCCGTATCGCCCCCATGTTTTACATCACCTGCAAAGACAAGTAACAGTTCCTCGTAGTAGATTACCTCGGAGGTATCGCGTTATTCGCGCAATGATATGAGGGTCGTGCCGAGCTATTCTCCGTCTCACTCGGCCCTGATACGTTTGCACGAATCGGCTTGGACAAGAGGCAGGAGGTGGCCAATCGTCTCTACAAGACGCTGACGAAAAGGATTGTTTCGAGCACTATGGAAGAGTTGGCACCGATTGCCCAGCTGCGTGAAGTTGCCATGTTGGACTTCGAATCGCATTTCGTCGAGAAACCACGCACGGAAAGGGACCGTTGCAGGGAGTTGTCGGTGAAACGTGCGCCAGCAGTCAGGGCGGCGATCGACTGCTTGAGAGAGAGCCCGGCATTCAAAGGTGACGATGGCAAAGACAAGGTCGTGGCGTTGAACTGAAGAGTGTTTCCGCCGGTCAAGTGGCAGGAGATTCTCCATGCGCCAGCTAATGCTACGGCAAAAATGCGAGATTATGTGTCCTGTACTACGTCTTCAAGTAGAAAGACCTAATGGGCGCGACCAAGAAGAATATTTTCTCCATCCCGGCTAGGAACAGCACCAACAAGGCCACGAAGAGTCAAGGGAGGTCGTCTGCCCTGAAGGATACCGTCGGCAATGCCCACGCGGGGGGTAAAGAATGGAAGGCATGGGCGCTGAACATGCTTGATGTGGCCAGAGAAGGCGGAGGTGTGGTGACATAAGATCAGATGCTGGAAATGGTGGGGTCCGTAGGAGCGGCCACGCCGTACAGCATGGCCAACGCGACGGGAGGTGAGGGAGAGAGCGTGCGCATTTCAGAAGTATTTATTTATTTACACTGCCGGTTTGTCCGACTAGACAGATTAAGCAGGGAAAGGCGTTGTCATCTCGAGATTTCGCTCCCAGCCGAAGTTCACCCACTCTCAACACCCGTGCATCTGAGTGTTTATCCACGTGTTCCGTCCCTCCCCCACACCTCCACACACCTGTTGAAATCTCTCATTTTAACGCAACACGAGCAAAGCACGCCAACAAGGCGGCAGGTCCGTTGAAATGGGTCAGAGAGCACTGTGCCTACGGGTTCGCAGTCGACCCGGTTTACGACGCCGACGCTCATGGCGTGGATCTGCCCGTGTCAATCCACCAAGGGGTGCACCCGGAATACCTCGAGAAGGGAACCGCGGGGATAATCGACTACTTCAAGAAGTAGCTCTTGTCTAAGTGGTTTAAGTCGATGGAGCTGCTCGTTGTGTGCTACGACCGCCAAGAACTAGAACCGGCAATCAAAGGACACGAGCAGCTTGGGAGGACGGAGAAACTTGGAGAGTGCTCTCGGACCTTCGACCCGAAGTCAACAGATCCGGTTCCTTCGTTGCAGTATGGGTAATGGTTTCGAGCCGATGGTATGGCGGCTCGGGACGGAATCGCCGCCAACCTGGCCATGCGCGTGCTGGCTGATTATGTCTGGACCGCCGACACCACGCCCAACGGAATCGTCGCATTCTAGGGCGTCGGAGGTGAACCTGATCTTAGTGCTGATAATCTATCGGGTGTAGATGCCGATGAAGGCCTCGAAATGGAAGTAGGTACCACGGAGTCGCTTTCGAAACAGTATCACTCCTACGCTTCCGAGACGGAACCGACCCGATCCCTGACGTCGAGCGGCACCGTGGGCCAGACATCGGCGAGGCGGAACTCCCCGTGATACACTTCATCGCCCGGGCGAAGAAGTACTTGTTCGACAAGTAGGTCGTTTCATCGCTAGACACGGACCTGTGGATGATCATCCTACTGGCGATGACCACTGGTTGGCTCCCGCCGCGTGGCGAGGGTGCGGTTGACGTGACCGTCCAGAGGGTCGTGGGTGGCGAGACCAAGTTCCTGTGGATGAACAGAGTGTTCGCCGGCATCTGCGAACTCCAGGACGGGAGCGAGTCCGCGTGGCCACCTGTTAACTTCAGGAGCTGGGTTCCAACGGACGCCGACAAGGTTCGTCTGTTCGTCCTAACCTTCCTGGAGCCGGGCTGTGACTACCTCCCGGCAATTTCCGGGCTGCCGTTAGACAAGATTTAGAGCGTGCGGACGGAGGGTTTGTTTGACGAACCGCTGTTCTTCGAGGAGCAGGACGGCACGTGGGCCGTGGATGTTGACGAATGCGCGAAACTATTGGCGACCATGTTCTTCTACAAGGATGAAGCGGCGTTTGGCACTGCTCATTCAAGGCCAGCCTCGCTGCTCGAAAGCGTCGACGGAGACGTCGAGGACGACGTGAGCTTGGTCCGCTACGCCATCCTCCAACTCCCCCTCCAACTCCCCAAGGAGAAGACGACAGCCACCTGTCCGTCTTCTGTTGCCTTGCGCAAGCAGGCAGAACGGGGTAACGCCATCTTCCGGTACTGGCAGAATGGCCTGAGGGAGACCTTGCCGACGACAGAATTTGCCGGCAAAGGATGGGGCGTCGACCCACGAGGAAAGGGGAGCGACAGCGACGAACTCACAGCCGAGAAGTGTGTGCTTTGACTGTCCGAGTATTCTTACATCGGCCCTGACCGCAAGACAGTCACGCTGGCGTGCGGTTGCAATCCGGACACCGCCCTGTGCAACAGGTCCAGGTACAAGGACTGAAAGTGCTCGCTCGCTTGCGGCTGCAAAAGCCGTTGCACCCTACGTCGGGCGGCGACGGCACCCGTGCGAGCAGGGGGGAGGTCTGCGTCCACGCCATGGTGGGTGCTTCTCAAACTGGGCCGATTGAAGGTGTCGCCCGACCCCAACCACTCATCGACACTCGACCGCAGCCATCCTTGCGTCTTGCCAATGCCATGGCACCACTTATCGCCTCTATGGAGCAGAAGGATTCGCACGGAGCGGAACAGAGCGACGTGGAGGCGGCGACCCCCGAGTCACCTGCGAGCAACGACGTTTCCTCCGGAGAGGCCGCGGTGTCGAAGAACGCAGATCTGCAGGACCCCGAGTCGGACGAGAACAGCGACGGTTCGGTCGGTGCACTCGACGATTTGATCAAGTTGGCTTCGGGTGAATCTGGCTCTAGCGATGGGGAATCTGACGGGTTGAGCGAGAGGAGCATCGACCCGGCCTGGAGTGACGGAGACACAGATGATGGTGCTGCGGATCTCGTCACCGACGCCTGGAACTGAGACCTGGCTAGTTCTTCAGGCAGGTGCATGTACCGTTCCTTGAGATACCTGGCGTGGGGTTGGGGATGTCGTTATGGGCATTATTCCTGGGTTCCCAGTGTAAATTGACACGAAAATTTTGGACTGAGAGAGATTGACACAAAAAAAAGTGACGGTTGCCAAATTGACACGAAAAAAGGTAACGGTTGGTAAATTGACACGAAAAATTATTCCGCCGCACGTTGCCTGGCGAAGGCCAGCGGCGGCGCAGCCTCAAGTTAAAAAAAAATCAACCCCAGCTGCACCGCTGCACCGCCGGGAAACCCAACGGTCGCGCTCCCTCATCACCGCACCCGACACGGAGCGAGGGGATGGCGCGCCTTGCGCGAGGTAGAATCCGCTACGAGTGGTATGAGGAGTGCATGCAGGTTCTACTGCTTGCTGTGTTGTGCGCGCTAGCTGGAGAGGAGGAAATGTTCCTCGTGATGGCCATGTTTGGCGTAGCACAGCTGGAGACATGTTTTAGGGTTCCCACCTGTGCTTTTTTTGACCTGAAATTTTGACACGAGCGGTTTTTTTGACCCGAGAGGTTACGCCGCCTCTTTCGGGTCAAAATTTCCAGGTCAGATTTTTCTGGAAGACGTGTCAAAATTCGGGGCAAATTTTTGTTTTGACACGAGGTGCCCCCGAAGCCCCCACAAAGCGATCAACTCCGCCTACCAGCTCGCAAAGCACTGCCGCACACCCACACACGTCTGCAAAAACAATCCCGGGAGCACATCGCACTCCTGCTGGTGCCAATCCGCGTCAGGGACGGTTGCGTTC